AGAAAAGGTAGGTTTTAGTACAAAAGTGTCTAAATTTGTATTCGATGATTAAATGTGAAAAATGTTAGACCAAGTTAAAAATGTTAATAAAGGAGACATAAAAAAGTGAGATCAGCAGAGGTAAGTAAGGAGAAAGAAAGAGGGGGGGGGAGCACATGAGAAAAGGGAAAAGGAGCAAGCACTTGCCCTCTGCCCTTTTGAGAAAGGGAGAATAAAGATGAAAAGAGAAGGGAAGGAACTGGAGAGAGTCATCCGTCTTTGTTCGAAGAGTTTGATGTGACAAAGCGTGTCTGGATTAGAAAGAACATGAAGACACCGCAGGATCTACTCCCCCGACCTTTAAACACACATACTCACTACACACAGATCACACAGAAACACACTGCTGCCGTAGGTCAGGGTTACACTTGTGGCGAAAACGGGGGAAAAGTGACTTGTTACTAGTTTAACCAATGCCAGTATGGACAGCTAATTGCATATTTGACTGGCTAGTTGAGATATTTGTTTAGGTGGCAAATTGAATTACTGTCCTACAGATGTAGCGATTCATTTCAGACAGTTTGAAACGCGAGGGCCGTGATTGGTACGTGATCTGCCCTCGCTCAAGGGAAAACCTCCAGCTTGACTTGGGACCGCCCCCGTGATAGATAAATGTAATTATAATGAAGCCAGTTGCAATGGATCATTGATCCACCAGGGGGTGCAGTGGGATTCCACACTGGAGCTCATGTGAAATAAAGTCAGATGCAGTACGCTGGATGTACAGCGGAACTTTGTTAAGATCCATATGTCACGGATATCATACTACTGTGCTAAATAAGAGACATTTAATCATTTACAAATCATCACCATGTTGTTATTTAAAAAAATTATTTCGTTATTCGAAAAAAAACGGACGGGAGGAAATGCAGCCCGGCTCTCGATTTTTAATCCTAATTTGATCATCATCTTCACCACGATCATTTATGTTTATGTTCGCCGAATTGACATGAAATCACTGACACATATGAATATACTGTATTCAACTTCATTAAAACGTTATTAACGTGCCTAAACTCAGTAATTCACCAAAAATATGTATATTTTAAATGGAGCTTCGTCGGTCGATCAGGATCCCAAAGCGTAGCGGAGGGATCCTCATCTGCATGACGGGTGTTATTTTCCCCATAAGGAACAAGTCGCTGCAAATTATCCCGCTTATTACACGGCCACATTCTCAATAAAGTAACGACATGACTCCCAATATTAATTTAAATACTTTTATGGATTTAGAAAATGTTTTTATTGATTTAAAAAATAGTTGTATGTATTGATTTAAATTGACATGCATCCGCTAAGAAAAATAGTCCGTTGTTACCGTTTTTTAAACAGTCTGAATGAAACGGCAGCTCTCAGCTGTGTATTTACACAACTAATGGCCCATCAACCAACTGTAGGTTACTCTGAGTGACCATGTATGTGACAAGCTTACAGTTAGTGACGTAACAACACCATAAAAGCTGGTGGGTTGAAAGCAATACGGGAGGTAAAAATAACTAGAATAATTGTGATTTATTTATTGTGGCTTTTATGTTTTTAGGTATAAAATGTTATGTAATTCAGGCTTATAGTTCACCCTTCTCTAAAAGCCTTCAACAATGACAATATTCA